TTTTGAAAAATGTATATTGTGAAAATTAATACAAAATTAATTATTCTTCTTAATATCTGTGAAAAACTCAAAAAAATTATTTTTGTGAAATGGATAGAGTATTAGGTTAAGAATAAACTATTACTTATCATATATCAAAATCTAAATTTTTCTTTTTTTCAGAAGAAATTAAAACTATAATTTATATATATTCAATAGGGTGTGGTTGATTCCGATGGTTTGTTTTCACCATGTAATTGATTTTTTTTTTTTTTGCTAAAACGTAATTGAATTTTATATTTGCTAATGAGTTGGGATTAAGTAATGAATATCACTAATCATAAGTACGATATAGAAGTTTATGATTATTAAATGTTACTAAGATTTTATTTACTCAAAATAGAGATGGCCATGGATATCGGTAAAATCGAAAATCCGAATACATCTGGCCATCCAAAAATGGGACATTGGTTATTGTATCGCTCCCCCACAATTTCGGAAAGGTCAAAAGTGGATGGCTATGTTAGCATTTTAACAAGGCTGGAGAACTAGACTTGTCAACAATTAAGTCGATCACAAATATATAATCATTCTAAGAGTTGTGATTTTAACAGATAATAAAGGCCACATTTAACAGATAACCAACCATAAAGGTCACATTTATGATGCAACCAATATGAAACAATATCTCGTAGTTTTATAACCAAAGCCAACGAAGACTATATGAGAAATTTAGTTTTATCTACTCAATACAAATCTATATTAGAAATTATGTTACAAGTTTTATTGATCGTTTGATCAGTAATCAGTCTTTCTTTCTCGATAATACTATTAATGAATATAAAAATAAATACTAGCATATCATGTATGGAGTTCATATTTTTAACATGCATTCTATTCATTGGCTATGTACTTTCTTCTACATACATATATATAGAGCTTTAGAGATTAACGGAGCGGGACGTTCTTGTCAGATAGATCCTAATTTATTAATTGGGAAAATCGCATTTTTAACCATCAATATAAGATTTACTATCACTTTAAATCCTGATGAAATTACATTCTCACTATAAATCTTCAAATCCAGAAAACTAACACTTTAAACCCTCAATCTAGCTTTCGAATTTATTCCAACAAAGAAAAATAACGGAACTATTCAACTTCCGTTAAAAGTGATGACGTGACATTACTATTTTTTATTTATTTAATATTTATTTTTATTATTAAATTAAAAACAAAAACAAATATATGTCAAAAATAATTTAAAAAAAAATCTTAATTTTTCTCGTTAACCCATAACCAAAATTGTTTCTTCTCCTATTTTTCTTCTTTATTGGATACGGCGGAGAACTTGACCTTACCAAATTAGATAAAATTAAGATTATAGAGAATGATTCAATTGGAGACGATTGATGGAAGAAGGGGGAATTGAAGATCAAAGAACAAAGATGAAACGAGGAGGAAAAAGAATAAGGTTTTTTTTTAATTAATTGTTAAAAATAATAAATAATATTTTTTATTAATTTGATTTTTTTAAAACAATGCCACATCATCATTTTTAACGGAAATTGACTAGATCCGTAATTTTTTTTGTCGAAGTAAACTCGGAAGCTAGGTTGAGGGTTTAAAGTACTAGTAAATCTTATCTTGAAGGTTAAAAATGCGATTTTCTCTTTATTAATTTGTGAATATTTTAACCATCTTTTTTGTCTATAGTTAAAAACTAAAAATACATGGTGGTTTTATATGTTTGATAAAAACAAGAGAAATTTCAAAAAATACCACTTTTCAAGTGCCACTTTACAAAAATACCACACTTTTGAAATCTTTACAAAAATGCCACTTTTTCAAAATTATTTTTTCTTTATATCATTTATGTTTGGGTTAATTATGTTCTATTAGGGTTTAGTTATGAGGGTTTAGGGGGTTTTAGGGGTCAAAACATTTTTTAGGGTTTGGAATTTTAAGATATAAGTTTTATAAATCTATAATTAGTGGCATTTTTGCAAATGGTCACCCCTAAGTGGTATTCTTGCAAATGTGCACACAAAAAGTGGCATTTTTGTAATTGTCCCTAAAAACAACAGGTTCTTT